CTGAAGTTGATTTTTCTGAAGTAAGTTCAACATCTGAGGACACTTATCAGGTTCCAAGTTCTTCAAGCAAAGATATATGTACAGACTTGTATGAGGAAGGTATGCCAAAGTCAGAATCTAAAGTTCCAGTTGTAAATAATGATGACAATACTGATGAGAAACCTAAGAAGGGATTGTTACTTCTTGGGGAATATACAGACAATGGAAAAAATACTGAAGAAGATGTTGTAAATTCAAGTGGAGTTAGATCCAAAGAAACTGCAGTGGATAAGTCAAGTCAAGAGACTACCAAAGCTCAATGTGGCAGCATTGCAGAGGTTGTCACATCAAGTGAAACTCCCAGCAAGGATGAAGCTTGTAGCATTGGGTTTGCCAATGATGTCCTTTTTTTTTATGACAAAACATCATTCATAGGAGAGAACAAAGGTGCCTTGGATGTTAAAGCTTTGGTAACTGACAGTCTTGCAAAAAGTGAGAAAGCAAAGGAGGATGGTCAAATTTCTGCTTCAGATTCTAGTGACAGTGAGAGGTCCTCTGACAGCAAGAAGGACTCCAAGAAATCTAAGAAAGATAAAAGCAAAAAAAAGGATAAGAAGAAAAAGAAAAAGAAACATAAGAAACAGAAGCAAGAGCTTGAAAGACAAGGGCCACCTGATAACAGAGGTACTGTACATAAAAGGGGAAAGTATTTGCTTGTGGCATGTTCTTGTGTCTATTTCCTGATATGTTTTGTTTCTTGTGTCTGTTTCCTAATTTTTGTTATGTTTTAATATTTGTTCTAATGTACTTACATATATGCTATTATTTTGAACTCTTACGTTAAGGTCATAGTAACATGTGCTTCATTAGGGTACATACATATGCTATTTATGCCATGGTGGGTGTGTAACCAAATCCATTGCCAAATCTCAGCCTGTACTAAGGGCAGTGGTCTAATAATTATTGTCTTAATGTACTCCTTTGTTTGAGAAGACCTATGCAACCCTGTCTTTTTAATTTGAAGATGTTGATGAAAAGAAAGAAAAGGACCAAAACAGACCCCAAGGTAAAGGAAGAAGCAGGAGTAGGAGTCGTAGTAGAAGCAAACTTGAAAGCCACACTAAAAGCTCAGAAAAATCTGCGAACCCAAAGCCCCCGAAGCACTCCAGAAGTAGAAGTAGAGAGAGATTTTCAAGGCATCATCATCACAGCAGGAGTAGATCACATGAAAAAGATAGAAAGTTAAAGCATTGTAGTGAGAGATCAAAAAGATCCAGAAGCCGTTCATCTAGCAAAAGACATTCACCAACAAAGAGAAATAGACTCTCCAAACATCAGTCATCCAGGGGTAGATCCTGGAATAGAGGTAACTCACCATCAGTGAAGAGGAATGAGAGGCACCGCTCAACTTCCAAGACAAGATCATCCAAAAGAGACTATCCCTCATCTAGAAAAAGGAATTTATCACAAAGCCCATCACCTCATAAGCACAGAGATAATAGAAAAAGCAGATCACCAGAAAGACATTCCTGTTCTTCAGAAAGAAAAGGTGCTCCTCCTGTAAAGAACAGAAGGTCCCACAGCAATAAAAATAATTCAGTTCCTAGACAATCAAGATCTCCAAATAAAAGGGAACATAAAAGCAGATCTTCACCATCAAGAAAGCTGTCCCACCGCACATCTTCAGCATCAGACAGCCTTGACTCAGGACACTTTACGAACATTCCATTGACTCTGCCAAACAAACAAGAAGATCAAGTTACTGGCAGAAAAGAATCAGTAGAAAAGATGCCAGGAGTAGAACTTGCAATGGAGGCTAGTGTTGTATTAAAATCTGAAGTAGATATAGAGAAGCAAGTGTCTCCTTCAGACAGTCCACTGAAAGTATGGGAGGATGAATTTGATTTTGTGTTCACAGAGCGGCTGTCAGCCAAAGATGGAACTGAAAAGACAGTGGAAGATGTTCTTTTTGGAAAAGAAATAATAGATCCAAAGACTCCTGACTCCCTCAAAAGTAAAGCTACCAAAGAGAGGTAAATTCTAGTTATCATAATGACAAGAAAAACTAATCCCTAAAGCAAGAAAGTGTTATACACTGTACACATACATGTAAATGGTACAAGTAGTGGGGGCTGATAATTGCAGTTGCATATGACTCATACTAGAAGTTAGATATTATATTAACATTGGGTAAGCAACTCACTGAAACTGTCCAGACAGTGTAAATCCTATCACTTCCAGGAAAGACCAAAAATTACATGCATCAAATTATCATTTACATGCAGAAAGGTGATAAGAAGAAAGAAAAATGTCAAATAGACTCATTTGGGATGTAGTTTTAACCCCAATTCTGTGAACTGAATTTACAAGACATGTACTCTTACTAGCAGGCAGTGTAGAGAATTAATATGTAGACCTGGGTGAGGAAAGGGCAATTTTACATTTGTATTTTTTTAACATTGGGTACAATGTAAGCAACTCACTGAAACTGTCCAGACAGTGTAAATCCTATCACTTCCAGGAATGACCAAAAATTACATGCATCAAATTATCATTTACATGCAGAAAGGTGATAAGAAGAAAGAAAAATGTCAAATGGACTCATTTAGGATGTAGTTTTAACCCCAATTCTGTGAACTGAATTTACAAGACATGTACACTTACTAGAAGGCAGTGTAGAGAATTAATATGTAGACCTGGGTGAGGAAAGGGCAATTTTACATTTGTATTTTTTTCAGTCCCTAGTCACGGTCAGTGTCTGTCAACTTTTATTAACCTGTGAGTTTGTCTTTTCTTGAAGCTTCAAAAGTAACGACAGCAGAGCATCCCTTGCCAAGGAAGTTAAAAAAACCAAAGAGGAACCACAAACTAAGGAAAAGGAAGAGTCAGAAAAGAAAAAAAGTCAGCAATGTAAAGAACCCAGTTCAAAATCCAAGCAAGAAAATTCTAAGGTTAAAGATGCTAAGAAAGTTCCAAATGCATCTAAGTTAAAGGATAGCATTGGTGAAGTGAAACCAGTTAAAAGCAATTGTGTAAAAACATGTAACACCAATGGTGTCCAAAAGACTACTGATGATAGTACTGTACATCAGAGTGCAGAGGAGTCTGGGAAATCAGCCTTTATGCCTTCAAAGTTTGAATCTATACCCTTCTTAGGGGATACTCCACCTGGTGCCATCTCAGAAAACAGAGAACTTCAACTCCCAATAATCCCAGCTCCAGGAGGTAGGGGTCTCCTACCCATTCCTTCATTTCCTGCCCACCCCTGGATACAATTGAATAGTATAGTGCATGGTGTTGGTCTCAACAAACCTAAGGGTTCTCAAAGTCTTTTACCTAAACCTGGGACACTTCCAAATATTCCTGCCAAAGATGGTAACATTGACAAAATAAGGAAAAACTTAAGTTCCAGTCCTATGGACATGGAGATGTCATCACCAGAAGGGGATATCATTGACAAACTTAATGAAGAATTTTGGAGACAGCAGGAACAGCAAAATCAAGACAATGCAAAGAATATGGATCATGAGGGAATAGAACTAGTGTCTGTAGACTCTATTAGGAATGACCAGTATTCAGTTGATGAACCTTATGAGCCTGAAACTGGTGTTTTGATCAGTGACGAATTTGAAGAGGATTTGGATAGCATAACTGATCCTAATGAGAGGAAAAAACTAGAGAAAAAGCAGCAGAAGGAGAAAACTAAAGTACAGGTATGATGGTTTGAGAGGTCCAACATTAATACTTGTTTTACTGGTCTTAACCCTTTGACTCAGCATCTAATTTCTCCACATAATATCACTCCTCAATCAAACATTAAGGTAACAAGAATTTAGTAAATGATAAGCAACTTGACTGTTAGACAAATTCTCCTCATCAGCACTTTAAGAAATATATAGAGAATGGTATGGAGAATATGCATACTGATGTTAGGGCATAAATGGTTTTTCTAGGAGAGCAGTGAAAGTAACCCAACTAATGTAGCAATCAATTCAAAACTTAAACATTCCCCCTCCCTCCCCTAAGAAACCCCCTGGCCATTTGAGTCTTAACAGTGAAGAAATTTATGGAATTTCAACTCAATCTCTAACTTTCCCTCATGAAGGGCAATTCTTTTGATACCCATGCCATGATTAGGACCTCAGCTCGGAGCCATTGAATTTGCTCTTCACCCTCTCTACCTTGGATTATAAATGAACACTAGCATAGTGACAGGAAGACTTTACAAATTTTAGGGGGTAATCATGGAGTGAAAACAGTGAAACAGTGCTCCCAGTCCACTTGGTTAGTAAGACTTAGCCTACATTTAACTATCCTGTGGGTTTTCCTGTAGGAACTGATAGACAGGCTCCATCGCCAGGCCAGAGTGGAAGAAGAAGTGAAACATGTTCTCAAAGCATACTACAAACACAAGGATATTAGCAAGGAACAGTATAAGAGTATTCTCAGAAGAGCTGTTCCACAGGTTTGTTGCAGACATTTTACCTTGTAACCTGTCAACATCTTTCCAGAAATAACTATTCACAATTGGTTGTCATAAGTGATCATACTTTGGATGTGTGGCTGTTGAAGCTTGAAATCCATAGAATGATTTGAAGGCTCAGTGGTGATGCAACAGTACATGTGTTGGACTCCATATGGATAGGTTTATACTCAACCTTGCCTAGATCATTCATGATGGAAGCACTCTTAAGCAACAGACAATTATATATTTACCTTTAGACTACAAGCTAAATTATGCAGACATTTTTATTGGTTTGCAATTATGGTTTATCTGAGAACAGGTGCATGGATGACATCATTAACAACATTTGCTTCTCTATTATATTAAACAGATTGATTGCATTTTGTGGTGGGTCTGTCCACTAATAGATCACAGATGTCATCAAAGAATGTGATGAGAACATCAGTTACACACTCTGCTGCACCTTGTGGACCACTTTTTTTTATTCATACTTCATTTTGGCGTTATCTGTGATATGTTGCAGAACAGACACACAGCAACATGGAATTTATTTGTCACTTAGATTTGGCAACTGCATGCATGGAAACTGACTTACACTTTGTATGTATGATTCTGTTTTCTTCAACAAGGCAATACACTTCTACAGCAGTTTCATTGAGGTGGAAAACAAAAGTTTCTCCTTAACTGATTTTAAAAGCCTCTGAATTGTGTTATTTTCCATTTCATTGTAGATAACAAGCTCTAGCAGTGCTATTGACCCAGAGAGAATCAGATCATTTGTGAAGAAGTGCGTAGTGAAGATGAAGAAAAAGCATCGTGATTCTTAGTTTTCTAGGTGCTCAAACAATTGTTTTATTACTGCAGAAGCTTGTTTATTGGCTATTTAAACAGGCATCATATTGTGCAATATTTTCCCCACCAAAGCAGTTAGTTGCTTTTTAAGATGGCTATTCAGAATATCAAGGGACTTATGTCACATTACTTTGGATGATTCCCAGCCTCAAAGAATAAACTTTGAAAATAATCATTTTAAAAAATGATTGTATTGTGTGAAGACAAACCCTTTGATCTTTTATACCCTAACACCAATATCCATCTTCTCCATGCTCTTTTTTATGTACTGAGAAGGAGAATTTGTTTGACGATCAAAGCTTCCTAGGTTGGCAATCATTTCCTTCATTCTCATGATCCTAAAGAGTGATTCAGCAGTATTACACTAAGAAGAGAGAAGATGCTGGTCACTCTTAAGGTTTTAGGGGATAAGAAGTTAAATTATATTAAAAAAGGAAAGGATGGAAAAAAAATTACCATGAACTACACATGGAATACTCGTTAATTCAGACTCAGTTTTTCAAGATGATCACAATTTTTTTATCTTTTGTGAATCAGTTACATTCATACAAATAAACAGAAGAATAAGCTCCTTTTAATGATCTGTCTCAATGATAGCCATATTGTTTTGTAACGTGTAATAGTTGCCTCTAGATTCAACCACTAGGGCTACATTATAGCACATTGTGTTGGTGGTGGTTTTGCTAAGGTTGTCCTTCTTAACTAATGATTGTTCGTTAAAAGTTGTGCCTGTGAGATGTGGATGTTTTTTTCAAATCTCAATTTCATCAAGTTGATTGTATTGCAGTTCTAATATTGAATAAATCATGGCAATTTCAATACAAATGGGAGGTAGCTGGACAATGCTTCACGTTATTAAAAAAAAGAACAACCCATTCAGTAAATTTGGTTTTATCAATTGAGTGGATAATGTACTTGGTACTGTTAGCACTTGGCTAACTTTCAGATTTCATCTAGGTCTCAGAAATTGTATCCTTATATAAGTTGGGTAAAATAACGATGGAAAAAATGAAGCGCATCTAAGAAATCAGTCAATATTGCTTGTGGCACCGAATCAAAAAACAAAGCCCCTTTATGTTTTTGTAATTTTGTTTTTCCTTTTTTGCCTGACCCTTCCTCTTTTCGTGTGCCCGTGTTTTCGCTCGTTTTTCGCTCGTACCGGGAGCGAGGCCTAAGAAAAATAAAGAGGGTACTTGAGATGATTGGTTCCTGGATCATAGATCCATGATGCATTTGGAGTAGATTCAGACCTTCTATTCTGCTTTAAGAACAAGACGATAACAAAGTTCAAAGAGGAATAAGAACACAAAGAAGAGGTTGGTTATTTTTTCTTCTTTCTTTTGGAATTTCCAAGGAAATTAGCCAGTCTTGGAGTCGACAATTTCACTGAATTTTTTAGTTTTCTTCGTCTAATAATTTTTTACCTTTTTTTTTTTCTCGTTTTTCATTTTTTAGTCTAATGTTATTGGTTTTTGTTTTGTTTTGTTTTTTTGCCAGCCATTCTCTTTACTTACTGCATCCGCACCATCTGTTTATGTGTGCAGCGGTTTCACGCGAGGACGTGTCTTCACAAAATGGCGGAAGTCAACCATGCAAAGTGTTTTTTGTAATGAGTCTGCTTAAATAGCTTTACAAAACTGCTTGGTGAGGTAGTTATAAGTCATTTATCTTTGCATGTTTACATAACATTTTGAGTCAACGAGATTTTAGTGCTTCGAGTCCGTTAATGCGTTTTTTTCCCGCATAAATTGCATACAGACACGTTCGATGATTCTAAAATTATGAGCTTTAAATACTTTTGTTACAATAAGTTGCCTGTGTGCAAGTGAAGCGGCTTTAAGAATTGGATATGTTTGCAAATCGTTTTGTTGCTTGTGCATAGATATCTCTCAGCTGATAACGGTATGTTTCACATGTACATACAGTACAGATTCGTGCTTATTGTGTAACTTCGATGCAGCCGGACATGCTTATGTAATGTCTAAAATATTTTCACTTTCGATGGTTGATTCCTCATTACACCTCGAAACTGCATCCAAATTTCACTCACTTGATTCTTTATATTTTAGCTGCAAAATAATTGTGTTTCTAAAATTTACCAGTGTTACCTCAAGTGATTTAAGTTTTCTCAGAAAACAGTCTTATTTGACAAATTTAAAGTGTATTTAAGGTGAATTCTTGCATTTTTGTTCCTGCCTCAAGACAGATCGGCTTGATTTTAGATTTTAGAGATAGATATCTTTGGTATAGCTTCAAAATCAGAATGTATGAAACTACCCTTGATCATAATTTACTGTTTCCAGGAAATGAACATTGAATCATACAAAAATGCACTACTTAGCCAAGTTATTCGCACTTCATATGGTCAAATTGCTAGATTTTGGGATCTCATGCCTTATCACAGTTTAAAGACCTCAAAGCTGTCATGGCATGTGAAAGCATACAATTAAAATTAATTCATATCTAACTACCATGATCAAACCAGCTCAGTTCAAATGTTAAAGGTATGCATAGTTTCCTGAATGTTTATCCTTGAAATATCAAAAAGGGACTGAAATTTGTTATGACGAGATCATTACTAAGTAATATATCTTCTCATTTATCAAACACAGAATGTCAGCTCTTCTAGACAGTGATAGTAGTGATGGAGAAGATGAAGATTTTGAAGGTTTTGTTGTCAGTCCTGAAGAAAAGGCAAGCTACAGAGTGTGGTCAAGGAGAAGAAGAGCTTTAAATGCGGTGGATAGTGACTCTGAAAGTGAAGATGATGATAATGAGGAAGATGATGAGGAGGATGGAGACGGTGAAGAAGAGGAAGAAGAATGTGAGGGTCTGTTTCAATGTGAAACAGGGGTTGCTTACATAGCTGCCAAAGTGTATCCCTTCTTATATAATATGTGGAATTTTATAGAAATTTTGACTGGTTCTTTCTTATGATCTATTAGATGATTGCAACAACTTTCTTGCTTTTTTTATTGTAGAAAACAAATACATTCCATGTTGCCATGGGTCTACAACTCAGAAATAGATCATGCAAGAATTCAAAATGTGGTTAGAACATCAGTGACTCAGTTGGCTCTTCCTAATGTGCCACTTTTTCATTCTTACCACATCATTTTTGATGTCTTTTGTGATCTACCTGTATTTCTGAACAGATGCATGGTGATATGGAATTTATTCATTAATTCCATAACATGAAGGAGCAGGGAGGATTGATCTATGACACAACTGATAGGATGCATAAAATGGCAAGTTACTGCTCAGGATTTTGTCAACTTTTCTCAGCAGCTTGCTGTTATATATTCTGGTGAGAGGAGAGAGAGTGGCAATACCAGAATTTGACTTCAAAAAAAGTAAAGAAGATCCTAAGATTTTTTTAAATTGTATTCTGTAGATGAAGAAAATGACGAACTTGATGCTGTTCTTGACGATGTGAACTTTGATGAATCTGGTGAAGAGACATCCACAAGCAACACTGACCAGTGTCCAGTGTGTTTGATGTCTTTTAAAGAGCAGCTACTGGGAACACCTAACAACTGTTCACATGTGTTTTGTTTTGAATGTATACAGGAATGGTCAAAGGTGAGAAGGACATCCAGAACCTTACAGGTTGATAACTTTCAAACTTAAAGGAGCTTGGTGCAAACTGGAACTCGGTTTCACAAACTTCTCTCACCTCAAACTTATAGACTAATAAAGTGATGAGGAAACTTGTTTTATTAACATTGTATTCAAGAGACATGATTTTGCTGTATTTTTGTTTCTTTGGATAGAATGCCAATACTTGTCCAGTTGGACGGAAACCTTACACTGAAATATTAGTGCATGCTTCAAGGAAAGGACCTGTGTTACAGAAAGTAAGACAGCTATGTTGAAAATCTAAGTTCATGTGATTAAGACCCTAAACTTGCTCTAAGATGAAGACATTTGCTTATGTCTGTAGTCTCTTTCAGTGTAGGCCCAGTGTGTTTGGTAATCAGTGCACAGTGACATTTTCCTCACTTGAATGTCATATTTTGATTTAGATTCCAGTTGAAGAAAGACTAGAAGAAGAAGATGAAATGGAGGATGATCCGACATATTGTGAGGTATAGTTATTCATTCAGGGGTTTTATCTCACTATTTGGGATTCTTGGCCCTTTTGTTTCACAATGTGTGACATGGTTCTTGAGTTTTTACACCTTGTTAAGAGCTGACAATATGTGAAATCATGATCTGATCCCCAAAAAATAATACACATGAAGTAACTGTTTTCCTTTTCTTAAGACATAAGACTTTGGTATCTATCACTTTGATGTAACTCAAAGTATGAACTAACTCAAAGTATGAACTATAAAATTAATGATAATAATTATACTATTAAAAATTCAAAGTTTTTGTTAAGCTTGGACGAGTTGCATGGTACTTTGGACAAGAATCCTACCTCAGTTTTGACTTTTCATCTGTTTTAAGATTTGTAGTCTTTATGACAGAGAAGAACAAATGTTGCTATGTGATGGATGTGATAATGGGTGAGTCTTGATGCAAAGGCTTCTAAGAGTTGTGTAGAGTTACCAAGGTTATACTCACTGTGATCATCACCTTCTATAATAATCCAAAATTTCCAATATGACAGCAATAAAATTGGAGGCTTATTTCCCAACCAGTTCAGTCTTA